CTAAATTGTATTTTTCTAGCCCATTAATGATGCTAACCCTAAACATGACTTGTGGTTTAGGCCACGGTCATGTCAAAATTTAACATACCAGATATAAGTAAGAGATATTTAGAGGGGCTGGAGAGACAGCTCTGTGGCTAACAGTATGTATTGCTCTTGCAGAAGAACAGAATCCAGTTCCCAGCACCCACTGCAGCTGGCTCACAACCACTTGCAACACCATCCCCAGGGAAACCCAATGCCTCTGGCCTCCAGGGGTATCTGCACTCACGTACATTCCCACCCAGAGACACATATGCATACACATAACTAAAAATAATAAGAATAAACATTTTATAAGAAAGAAAACAAGTCAGTTATGGTGGCTTACATCTTTAATCCCAGAATTTGGAAGGCAGAGGCAGGTGGATCTCTGAGTTCAAGACCAGAGTGAGTTCCAGGACAGCCAGGGCTACACAGAGAACCCTGACTCCAAAAAACAAAAAAGAAAAAAGAAAGGCAGACAGATAGACAGAAAAAGAAAACAAATGAGATGTGTCCTCAATTTGTAGCCCAGGCTAGCCTCAATCTCCCGGGCTCAAGCAATCCTCCTGTCTCCTGAGAAACTATAGCCACAGGCTCACACAAACACCTGCTTGACAATCTTATTTTGCATTCTTTTACTAATTGATACGACAGCTCCCAGACATAACACATCCCTTCTCCCTCTATGTAAGGGAAAAAAAAAAAAAAGATTCCCTTGGGTATGACTAAAATAATCTTGGACACCTGGTAACAAAACAATTCATTTTAGGATAATGCCTTTTGGTTGGGACAAAGCTTAGTGGTCCAGGGCTTGTCTAGCATGCACAGAGTCCTGGGTTCCACCCCTAGTCCAAAAAGAAAAAAGATCATCTCACGTGAAATAATGCAATTACAACTGCCAACAGCAGAGTCCCCATACTTCAGTGAATCTGAAACAGCCCAGGATGCCCGATGACACACACCACACACACACACATTCACACCACATACACACACCACACACATGCCACCCACACATACTCACACCACATATATAACACAAATACACCACACACTCACACCATGTACACATACCATACACACACACACACCACACACACACACATATATACACCACACACATACTCACACCACATACATAACACAAATACACCACACACTCACACCATGTACACATACCATACACACACACACACCACACACACACACATATATACACCACACACATACTCACACCACATATATACCACACACACATGCACACACACACCATACACATGTCACACACACATACACAGAATACACTCATGTCACACACACACACACACACACACACACACATCACATAAGCACACTCACACCACACACAGATACACCATGCACACATATACACCACACATTCACCACACACACACATATACAAGTAACCATAGGACCCCCAGAGAAGAGGCACCTGGTCCGGTGGGTTCTCAGATCATTGTTAAATGAAGACACCGTTTCCTGAGGGTGCAGGCAGGATTCTCAGATCTCACTCTCAAGAGAAAGACTCACAGATAAGACTTCCTAGAATAATTGAAAGATTTTCGTTACCTGGACCCTCCCCTTCTCTGGGAGCCACCTAACTCTCGCCCCTGGTTGTGCACAGGCGGTTGGCTGCCCTCCCATTCTAGCAGTGGTTACCTCCTCCTGAATGTCGTCCTTATTTCTCCTATGCCTGATCCTGTTTGCCTGTGTTCCCCACAGGGCACTTGCTGCTCTTGCTTGAGCACAGTGTGCTATACTGTGCATTTCCTAAAGGGCTCTCTCACTTGGGGCCCATGGCTTACAGGTCTCTCCAGTCTCAGCTCCTGGCCCAGGAACCAGGTGATACTCAGTGAATGGGGGAGGGGGTGGGGAGAAGGAAGGGCAGCTAACTTTGTCTTCAACTACTTTTTCAGCTTTATCACTTCAACAAAATGTGTCCTGTTGTGGAACATTATTTGAACTAAGCAAAGATGTGTTTATGCTGCATTTGTTTAACAATGTAAGGATGTGTGTTTAATTATGTAAAGATGTGTTGCATTTGTTTCACCTTGCCTGCCTAAGGCACCTGGTTGATCTAATAAAGAGCTGAATGGCCAATAGCTAGGCAGAGAAAAGATAGGCATGGCTGGTGGGAAGAGAGAATAAGTCGGAGGAGAAATCTAGGTTTGAGAGAAGAGAACGAGAAGAAAGATGGGAACACTCCCAGGGGTAAGAAACCAAGCAGCTGCCAGACAGACAGAGACATGAGAAGCAGTGAAAGTAAGATACACAGAAGGAAAAAGAAGGAAAAAGCCCTGAGGCAAAAGGTGGGTAAAGAGAAACAGGTTGAAAGAACTAGCCAGAAACAAGCCTAAGCTAGGCCGAGCATTCATAACTAATAGGTCTCCATGTCATATTTGAGATCTGGCTGGGTGGCAGAGCAAAAAAAGAAAAAGCCTGGCACCGTGCCCCTTCTGCTGCCAGAAGCATGCCCCCACATATGCATAGACAATGGGGCCAGAGGCTTCAGAGCTTTACCGCTGTGGTTTAAAGAAAGGAAAATGTAATGTAAGTGGACATTGATAGGGATTGGTTAATGAAAGGCAAAATGGACACAGCCGTTGGAAAACAGGAAGTGGGTCTGGATGTGACTCAGTGGGATGAGGTCCAGGACATGCTACAGAGAGGGGCTGGTGCAGAAGTGGCATGGGTGTGACCCAGTGACACTGTCCAGGACATGCTACAGAGAGGGGCTGGTGTAGCTCAGACTCAAAGTGTGTGTTCAGCCTGGGCAAGGCCCTGGCCTCCATCCTCAGTACCAAAGGGGAAAAAGTAAGAGGCTAACAGTGTGCAAAATGTGACTCCAAGTATGGGATTTAAGGGGTGGGGAGCAAGATGGCTTGACGGTACAGGGGCTTGCTGCCAAGCCTGACCACCTCAGTTTGATTCCTGGGCCCCACGTGGTAGGACACATGCCTTTAATATACATAGTGAGTTCTAGGAAAGCCAGAGCTACACAGAGAGGCCTTCCTCTCCTCTCTCTCTCTCTCTCTCTCTCTCTCTCTCTCTCTCTCTCTCTCTCTCTCTCAAAAAAAGGAAGAGGAAAAGAAGAAAAGAAACAGAAACAGAAGATGGACATAAGACACCCTCAAGAGGCGAAGGCGTCCTCTGACCTCCATCCGTGCACCATGGCACACACCTCCCTCACCCTCACAAAAACATTTCAGCTAGTTTTTTTGGGGGGAGGGGGTGGGGACACAATACTAGAGATAGAACCTAGGATCTCAGTGTATTGGCAACAAAAGACCACCACCAAAGACAACTTAACAGTTTATTTTGGCTTAGGAGTCCAGAGAGAGAGAGAGAGAGGAGAGTCCATGACAGTGAGGAAGACATGACATGCTCCAGGAGCAGGAAGCTGGTTGATCAAACTTGAGAGAGTGGAGAAAGAGCAGGAAGTAGTGTTAGGCTATAAATCCTCAAAGCCTGCCCCCCCCACCCAAATGACATATTTCCTCCAGTAAGACTCCACCAAACAGTGCCACCAACTGGGGACCAAATGTTCAGATACAGGAGCCTGTGGGGTCCACATCTCATTCAAGCCAGCACACTAATGCATACTGGTCAAATGCCTTACCATGGAGCTGTATCCCCAGCCTATACACATAAAATAAATAAATAAATAAATGTAATGAAAACTTTTAAATAAAACAGTAACAAATTGAAAGGATCGAGATGCCATGTGTAACTCCAGGAATCAGTAGACAGTGAGATCAGAGGCTCAAGGATTTCCTCGGCTACATAGTGAGTTTGAGGCTAGCCTGGACTACCTGAGGCAACTCAAGTCGCAACATGAGTCTCTTTAAAACATTTTTAAAACAAAACAGTTCATCTAGATACCCATTTTTCCTTCCCAAGTGCCTTGTGCTGGGGCAAAATTTCAGTTCAAACTAGTGATGACAGAGTGATGGCTCACACCTTAATTCTAGTACTCAGAGACTGAGACAAGAGAATCCCCCTCTCCCCTTCTTCTTCTTTATCCAAGCGACCTCAACGTTTCTATGTACCTGAGGGATCTATTTTCTGACCTCCTGCCTCCACATCTTGAGTGACCAAACGACTGGCACGCGCCATCACAGGGGAGATGGCCAGGATGGAAACACGGGCTCTGTGCTTGCTAGGCAAACACTAAAACCTGAGCTATATCCCCAGGTCCAGGGGGGGGGGGCATGAGTCCAAGACAAGTATAGGCTACAGAGATCTTATCTCCAAAAAGTGTGTGTCATTGAGAGTTGGGTGTTGTGATATATTATTTTATGATTCATTAAAGCTTTCCTGAGGGTACAGAAAGCAAAGCTAGCCACAGCCATGGTGATAACATACCTTTAATCCCAGCAGTCATACTAGCAAGCCATAGAGCCTGGCAGTGGTGGCACACATCTTTAATCCCAGGGCAAATGGACCTCTATTAGTTCAAGGCCACACTGAGCTACACCAAACTGATCCAGTCCTAAAGAGGAACAGCTTGCACAAAGGTGATCTCAGCACTTGGGATCACACACCTTTAATCCTAGGATTTGAGAGATGTAAAAGGAAGAAGCAAAGTCAGTCTAAGAAGATTTAGTCTCCAGCCACGTTGATGAGAGCAGCAGTCTAGGATTCTGAGGCTTGGTGGAGAGCAGTGCAGTTTGGAGATGCAATCAAAGGACACAATCACCCCTTTGTTCTGAGCATTTGCAAAGGTGAGAAATCTCTAGGGCTTGGCTGCTTTGCTTCTATGATCTTTCAGCTTGAACCCTAATATCTGTCTCTGGGTTTTTATTATTCCTGTTATCGTTGGGGGCTTAGTTTGCAGACTGTTTCTGAAGTCACCTGGTTTGGCCCCTTTTGGAAGAGAGCAATTGCTAGACCTTCCACACATGGCCACTAGAGGACGCGCCGAAGCAGCCGAAGTCTCGAACTGCTTGGGCACTCCCCAGAGAAGCATCCAGAAAACAAAGCAGTCTCATTTTCAAAAGGCTGAAGAGGCCCCTATGGAGCATCAACACTCCATCTCCTCGTAAGTAAACGAACTTAATTACAATTTAATTTATTCTGAATTGTATCAACAATTAAAAGGAAATTACCCACTCGCTCTATTTTCTTTCTTTTTATTTAAAATAGGTTCCTCTTAACTTCAGCAATTTAATGTGAGGAAACAATTGGATTTTAATGACCTCTCAGGAGCTCATCCTAGTAGGTGGATCCTGCCTTTCTCACCTAGCTTTGATTTATGGCACATCTCTCAACATCTTAATATGTCATTTTATCTGATGATAGCTGACCTGGGCAGAAACACATCTTCAGCTACCACTGTTGAAAACACAAAAGATAGAAAACAGCACAGTTCTGTCTTTGTTTTCCTGGGCTGCTGCCTCTCTGCACCCATGTGGCCCACCATCTGCAACAAGCTTTTTGGGAAGTGACCATTGTGTAAGGAAGGGAACAGAAATGATTAGTGTGCCGGTCATCCTTGGCCTGTGCCTTCTAGCCACTGTGTGGGGGGTGGGACTGGGAGCAGGGCCAAAAAAACAAAACAAAAACCTATGCTGTTCACAATCACCAAAGGGTAGGATCAACTCAAATGTCCACCAAAGAATGAAAAGAATAGGCAGGCAGATCTCTGAGTTCAAGGTCAGCCTGGTCTGCAGAGTAAGTTCCAGGACAGGCTCCAAAGCTACACAGAGAAACGTTGTCTCAGAAAAAAAGAAAAGAAAAGGGGGCTGGAGAGATGGCTCAGAGGTTAAGAGCACTGACTGCTCTTCCAGAGGTCCTGAGTTCAGTTCCCAGCAACCACATGATGACTCACAACCATCTGTTATCAGATCTGATACCCTCTTCTGGTGTGCAGATATACAAGGAAGCAGAATGTTGTACACATAATAAATAACTAAAATCTTTAAGAAAAGAAAAATGAGAAGAAAAGAAAGAATGAATGAAAAAAGAAAAGAAAGAGAAAAAAAGGATAAAATGAACAAACAAAAGCATGAGGTCTCTCCATGAGGAAGTGTGATAGTATGAACTGTCAACTTGACACCTCAGAGGCAGCCTCCAGGCACCTTTACCTCTCTTTACATTCTCTTTACCTCTGAGAATGTCTGTGGGAATTGTCTCAATTAAGTTCATCGATGTGGGTGGACCCATCCTAATTGTGGGCGGAGCCATCCCTGAGAGGGATCCGGGATTGCATAAAATGGTGAGCACTAGTCTGTGTGCATTAGTCCCTTGCTTTCTGCTCTTGGCTGTGAACATAATGAAGCAGCTACTTCAGGCTCCTGCCACCTTCATTCTCCCAAGTGACTGACTAGCTGTGACCTGGAAACTCACTCCTTTAAGGTGCCTTTGTAGGTGTTCTTTATCCAGAGCTACAGGACACAAAACTAAAACAGGGAATATTAATTAGCTGCAAAAAAAGAACAAAGTACTGACACATGTTGCAGCATAAATAGACCTGAACAACGTGCTACATTTGTGTTAAATGTCCACAAGAGGCACCTACAGACACAAAGGCTACATTAGTGGTTTCCTGGTCCTAAGTGTGTGTGTGGTGGGGTGGGGTGGGGGGAGGTAATGGAGAGGGACTGCTTCATAGAGGTGGGTTTTCCCTGGTGATACAAGTCTTTTGAAATATCATAGGACAGCAAGACACCATGGATGCCCCCAGAGCCACTGTGCTGTACACTTTCCACTTCAGTTATGATGGCAACTGCACCCTGGGGGATGCATATAGGAGATAACCAGTGAATAAAGAGACAACACATCACATGAGTCTGAGGTGCTGTGGGAAACACAAAGTTCTAGTCAGTGTTGTCTGCAGAAGCTCCAGTGCTGGCCAAGCGGGCCTGTGCAGGTCACATGCCTGTTAATTTATGCAGGGGAGACATATTCAGCCTGCAGGTATGCTGGGCATAACCGAAGCCACCCTGTTTTTTTCTAGGTGTATTTATGGTCTCTCTTTTTAAGCAAATGTTTTTTCTTTATTTTTTTAGCATTTATTTATTTTGTGGGAGGGTTGCATGGGAGAGGGGTGGAGGTCAGAGGACAGCTTGTGTGAATTGGGTCTCTCTTTCCACCTTGTGGGTCCCATCAAACTCAGGTGGTCAGATTCCTCAACAGCACCTTCCCCTGCTGAGCCATCTCGTCAGACCACTCCCTATCTTCCCTATTTTCAAACCCTCATTTGTTTTGTTTTGTCTTTTTTTTTTTTGTTTTGTCTTGTTTTTTTTTCTGAGACAGGGTTTCTCTATGTAGCCCTGGCCATCCTGGTACTCACTTTGTAGACCAGGCTGGCCTCAAGAGATCCACCTGCCTCTGCCTCCCAAGTGCTGGGATCACAGGCATGTGGCACCACCACTGGTTTGGCTTCTACTTTCAAACTCTTAAGTCTTGTCTCTTGTTGGAGCTATCACAGTCAGATACACCTGTAGGCTAACACAGTCTGGGATACTTGAGAATCAGCAGAATCTCTTTAATCTCGATATGCAGAAGAATGGAAAGGAAGCCCACTGGCCCAGAGCCCCTAGATTACCCTGAAAATTTTCACCTTTTCAGTGGCTGATATTTTTTGGATGTTGGATGGCCAGACCATAAATAAGGCTTAGGCCATAGCAATGCTGGAAGTTGCTCAAGTTGGGTGTGGTGTTGTAACTGGATACCTGGAAGAATGAGGACATGCTTGTGTCCCTCACTCTGGCCATCTAAACTGTTGAAGCAAGGTACTTCAAGGAACTGGAATTTCCCCCTAGGAATCTCATGCAGGGAGCAGTGTGACATAGAGGTAGCTTGTCTCTCTGGAAAAAGGATTTCACACAGTGTGGGTCAGACCCAAGCTAAAACAATGATGGACCAGTGATGGATGGGACCACACCTTGGCCAGGACCACTTATGTGCCTATCTCTTAGCCTGAAGATGGACTTGGGAGGTGAGGTCCCTGGAGGATGGAGGTTCCTGGATCTAATTATCTCTCTTCTCAATGCACCTTGGGTAGAATGCAATAGAGAACAATCTCCCATTTATTAGGGACACAAAGATTTTCGAGCCCACAATTCAGAATGGCTGACCCTGTGGAACTGTTAGGTCCCAGGGGTAGCTCCCCTACAAATGAAGAACATCTCGGGTCAGGAACAGGGTCAACACCATTGTTTTGTGGATATGGCTGGGGGGCCCCGAAAAGAGAAAA